CTGGTCCTAGATGAGACTCCTTTAGCCCTCTGAATTTATTTTTCTCCAACAGATGAAAACAGTCCATTAGGGTAGATTTCATGTGCCAAACTGTCAGTTGTTTTCTGTGACTGTCACACACGTCCTCCCATCACCCTCCCTTCCTAGAGGCTGCTAAATGACATTAACATGCTATCAGATCATCAGTCTCAGATTTTTGCATTTCAGCAGCTGTTGCTCTCTTCTTATTAGTGAGTCTGCAGAGAAAATCTTTCAGACAAAATGGAACCGAACCCTGTGGTTATTGTGACTGGATGTATGCAGGACTGAAAGTGCCCGAGGGGGGCCTGCAGGTACCATGCAGAGGTCTTTCAGAAGAGACATTTGTTATTCAAAGTTGCTGCCCATGGAAAAAAAAAAATGCTGATCTCTACTCCAAAGATGCAATAGTTGTCATTTTTTTCATATTTTTAATATTAAAATTAAGCACAGGACAGTGCGAGAGCCTTGTTCAGCCTCACATATTTTTCATCCCTTCCCAATGTGGTCAGTCATCCCAGACATACACCTTCGAGCCGTGCAGCACAATGCACTGCCAAAAGGTATTGAGAACATGGTTTGTCACTGATCACTTTCCAAACAAATAATGCAACCTTTGGTCAGGTCCTGTAACAGCTAATTCTTCAGAAGAGTTACATAAGCATAAAAACAAGCAACACTGCTGTTGTATTATCCTGGAGATGAACAAAGTTAGCATGCTCCAGTGATGGGCCCATTGGACTGGCAGCTGGACCCTTGGTCTGTATGCTGCATTCCCTCGTGCTATTATACGACCTGAGACGAGTGTCCTAAGCTGTCTGTGCCTCTTTTTGCTCAATTGTAGAGTGAAAATAATGATACTTATTTATCCCTGTAACTTTATTTACAATGATGTCTACTGAACAGGTGGTAAGCATGATTACTAGTCCATACTCTTTTACTCTGTTAAGAGTACCTGAACTTGCCAACCACTGACTGACTTGATTATTAAATCTTCAGAACATTTTTATAGAACAAAATAAGCATGAAGGAATAAACGTTGTAGGCATAAGGAATAAACATTGCATTTTTTAATTATTAAATCATTGTGTTACAATTCCTCTATGTTCTAAGAAGAAATGTATCATGAAGGATCTTACATGATATTCAAATCTTTCCCAACAAGTTGTGTGTTTCTTACAGCTTTCTCAGTAGGTCAATAACTTTCAGACCTTAAAATCCATTTAGCAAACATTTTCTCTAATGGAACGACCTCTCAGACTCATCTGAGCATCTTTACTGTCTATTTCCTACAACCACCGCAATTGCAAATAGCAGCAGCCATCACCCCTATGTGTTGAAAAAAGCACAGGATGGAATGGTCTCTTTATCACTGTGTTGAGTTGAACAAAGACAGATTATCTGGTGATTAGGGGTTTGGAATATTAATTAAACATCAAGGCTTTCAAATTAGAATCCCAGATGTTTGATCATTATGGTAATTCCCTGTTAACAGCATTCCCTGAAAGGCCTGAGAAACATTCCTCTAATTCTCCAGTGGTGAAAGGTTGAGGACCCTTAGGCTATCAAGCACTGAGCTGCTCTGCATCAATTATACAAGACATGGCCTTTTTAGCAAAATGGAGCCATCTTATTTAGTGAGCCTTCTGTTAAGAAAGCTCTCAAACAGCTGCCTAGGTAGATGAATGCTTTCCTTACTAACACAGGCTTTTCCAAAACAAAGCACACTGTTCCTTGCACAAGCTGCTTGCTCCAAATCAAGTCGCAGCAGCAACTACCTTTTCAGGGAGGGGCAGCACCAGCAGCTGGGCCTGCTACATCTCCAGGAAAGCTACCCTGTCAACAGCATTGTCAGTGTGTCTTGGTCTCCTGCTCTGGCCTGTCTAGGCATAGGAGTCAGACCATCTTCCTCAGCCCTCGCTCACCTCTGGCTGAACTGCCTCCCAACCAGTGCTACCTGTGTAGCCTTATCCTGAAAAGGTGAGAAGCTGGAACAAGTTCAAGTCATGCTCAGGAAATTATATGGATTGCTGCTCGTTTCCTTTCTATATTACTTGTGTATCTGTATTACTACATTTTATAGAGGCAACTTCTCCTGAGCCTGTGAACTAATCTGAGAACAATGTCTAGTGTTTGCAGAGCCCACTGACAAGAATGCAGATGGTTCTTTTAACAGCACAAGTACTGTTTGTCACAGGCAGCTCAGGAAGTGTGTTTGGAGATCCACGCTAACAGCCAGCCTGCTTACTACCATGGCATACTGCCCTCATACACGTGACCTTCTCAGTGCACTCAGCTCTGCGGTTTGTCATAAATTACCTAGCTAGGAATAATGATAGCAATAACAAAACTCCTTTCACCTGGCAGTGATTTACCCCTGGTATTTCTTCCCTCAGTACATGCTCCTACTAACATATGAATAAAACACAACTTCATACCTATGCCCAGAGCAACCTAAAGACTTTTCATCAAGCAATAGAGTCAGAAAAGGTAACAGGAGATCCAGGCAGGATGGAACAAATTACCTGAAGTTCAAGGTCTCAGGTTATTCACCTATAAGCTTAGTCAAACTTGAGTGCAATCTGAAAGGAATTTCAATTGGAAAGGGGATGTATTTCAATATTTTTCATTCTTTACTAGATGTTAATTTTGCACAGTCTGATTAAGGATTTTCAGCCTTTGCAGGGTGCAGCTCCAGAACAGATATACTGCTGATCTGGACCAGTTGGGGAAGATTCCTTCTCCCATTATGTGACAAGGAACTTACGTGCTACCTCATAGTGCTCTATAGAGCGCTACGTTCACTTAGTGAAAACCTCTTTTCCAGCAGCCCTTAGTGCCCACATACAAAGTGCTCACGCATTGCTTGCAAAAAACGAATGGAAAATATCTTAACTTTCACAGAACCTATACAATCCCCCCACAGCTTTTATTAAAAAACTTATTGTCTGTGTACTAACAAAATATAAATCTGTACTCAAAAGTATTTGCGCTATTCACAAGGTTCCTCTAGATTCTAGCCAGGCACCCTGAAGGTCTCCATGTCATGTTCCAGTCAACTGCAGATGTTGCTGCAAGTAGTCTCTTTATGGGCGCAGTTTTCTATAAATCTCTTCCTTGTTCTCACAGAGGTTTTGCAAAACAGATTCAACCACAGTCACACAGAGCAGATATTGCTCATCAAGCTCTGGCCTCAGCACCAGCTATTTCCACTTACCCATCAGTTTTCCTAATGTACATTCTACTGTAATTCCACAACTCTGTTCAGGAAATACTTAGACATACTTTCATTAGGTTGATGGAAGAAAAGAAGAGCATCCTAGAATATGGACAACCACAATCTCAACAAAGTCCATGGAGTCTTGAACATTAACAGCTCTGTTTTTCACAGAAGAAAGTTGCCCAGAGTTTCCTGGATCTTGCTGGGCCTCACATTAATATTGACTGTATAGACAAACAATTCTTAAATCTCTTGCTGTGAGAAGCTTTGTGTTTTCAATGGCTGTCAACAGCCCAGTAAAACTGGGCTAAATCTATCAGTAATTTATAGAGCACTACAAAGCACTGGAAATGAAGGGGAAATAATCTTTTTGATAGCACTGTACACCTCCAAAACAATATACCAAAAAGCTGATGTACCACAATCAAACTGGTTAGTTAGATGTAACTGCAAATGGCAAACTTCCAGACAGCAAGTTCTCCATTCTTCTGTATTGAGGGACCTTCCACGTAGGGCTGCTTCATTTCTGCAGGCTGTAGCTAAGTGGTCTTGGGCACCCTGATGGTCTGCTATTACTACTGATCATCGCAAATTAGCAGCTTTGTCCTTTTGCCCAGTCAGTATTAGCTGGACAATACCAAAAGAGGCAATTGATCATATGAAGCTGCTCATGAAGAAGAGACAATATTAGTTAAACCTCCTCCTCAGCTGCCCCTTCTACCTAACTCTCAAGTCATTGTCACAATAGATTATGGAAGCTTGTTCTTACTTAATATTCTCCTAACAAGAATATTCATTCACAATTTAGCATTAAATGAGATTTTAGCACTGCTCAGCAGTGTTTTTCTTTCTTGTCTGATACCTCTTTGAGAAAAAAGATGCTGCTTTGGATGATGGGATGAAAGACAAGGCTGGCACTGGGTTCCAGGACACCATTCCCTGCAGTCAGTATCAGGTCATGTACAGCAAGACCAGTCCCAGCAGTGAAACACTATACCAAAATATTCCAGGTGCTTACTCGGAAACAACACAGACTGTGGTCAAAATATTCCCAAATACCATTCACTTAACCTGGATCAAGGTTATAAATTGTGTTCAACAATTATCACAAATCATTTCATTCAGAAAACTGCAACCCCAAACAATTTTCAGGTATGGCTTATGAATTAAGATGCTTGATGCAGGTTTGGCTTTATTAACTATCAACCAGCAAATGAAGAGTCACTTTTTGCCTAGTTTGGGTCTAATATACGCTGTGATTGCCCAAATCTTTAGATCCACCGAGTCATTTAAATAATTGCCTACAGCATAGTCCCAAGAAGCCTGCAATATTGAATTTTGTTCCATACAGTGGGGAACAAATAGCATTTCTAATAGCAAAGTACAACTTTTACATTTCCTAAGAAAAGTGGCAGCACATACTACTTTGAATTGTTGATTTTGGCATTTAAAGCAGATGTCAGTATCAGTTATGATTAAATGTGCAAGAATGCACATTTCTAAACCAGACCTCTAAAGATAAGCTGAGCAGCACAGAGCCTTATTGTACATGCTATAAGATTTCCTCTCATCGCCTGACCAGCTACACCTCTTTATACCTCCCGGGAGAGCAAAACAGGACCATCTAAACAAACATTAAGACATAAAATATATGAATACAAGACAACTACATATTTGTATAGGTTGAAGGAAGTTAAAAAATGAAAGTAGGGGAGATCTTAGGGAGTAACCTATAAAAACATTCCACCTTACTATATCATACCTTCCACTGCTAATTCTTTCCATCTTTCTTTGTTTGCTTGAATGATCTTCATCAAGTTGTCCTTAAAGCTCGTTAGGTCTACAGTTGCTAGAGAATTTTCTGTGTGAGTCCCTCCATCACTTGTATTTTTAAAACTGGGTCGTCTTTGTGCTTCAACATTGCTTACTGCTCCCAAACTATTTTGGCTGCAGAAGGGAAAAAACCCTAAATGATGAACACAGTCAGGCAATTTTGATGATACACAAACAGTTAATTTGAATCAAATTCCATAGGACCTACATGCAGTCACTAACTCAAAATAATAGTTTTCACCAAAGAGTGCCTAAGATACAAGAGATTTCTTCAACTCATGAAGCTGTAACCTGGGACCAATTTTTACCGACCTTTTTCCAGGGAATTCTTGAAAAAAAGTGATAGATGAAAATACATTACTTGTAAGTCGGTTCTTGAAAGAATGTTTATGTAGCCATTTTGGAGCAGCTTCTTAGCTGTGTTTTTGAACAGTGAATGGTATCTTTGGGGCTCACAGGAAAGACATCTGATTGTTATTTGTTGACCCATTTAAAAAAGGCAAGACACAAAAGTATATGACAGGTAAGTAAGTTCAGCTTCAGCTGAAAATTCTCTTCAAGGTACATGCCTTCAAGTGCAGTCAAAGCAGGATTTGATACAGTGGCTTTAAAATCCACTTAAGAGCTACTGCAGCTACCTTACACATCAGGTAAGGTAGAAGTCAAATTGATTATTTGTATGTGAATATGCAGATACATGTAAAGGTGGGGGAAAAAAGAATGCACTCTCTTTTTTCCTTAGGATTAAAAAATCAGACCTATTTCTGGCCTTGTACAGTTAATCATGTCAGGTTTTGTTTACTCGATTACGCTGCGTAGTTTATCTCTTTTGTACCAAAGACAGATGTTAATACGCATACAAATGGATTTCCATTAATCAGAAAATATAGTTGCAGCGAACATATCAGTGAGAACTGCACAAGAAGAGTCAACTTCAATTTCCGTGTGCTCCAGAGATGTTGAATAGGATATAATGGAAAGAATAGCCTATAATTCTAATATTTTCCAGGCACCGCAGTGAAAGTCATACCATATACTCATGGTGTCCACCCAGTAATGTTTGTGTAACTCTGCCAGCTCAGACATTTCTGTATCATGCTATAGGCTCTCCACTCTCTTGTTAAGTGTAGTCCTTGATTACATACTAAGAAAAAATCCCCTTATCCTCCATCTCACATGAGGAAACTTTGCTGGATCATAAGCCTTTTTTCATCTACCACTCAGTCACAAACATCAACCAAAAACAAAACCTGGAGCTACTAATCATGTGCAGCTGCTAACCACTCATTTGGGAATAAGTGAGTAGCTAAACAAGTTTGTTATCAATAATGCCTTGGTTTAGCACTGTTCCACAAAACACTAAGAACACTGTCATAAATACCTACTTCTAGTAACTTCTACTTACTTCTAGTAACCGAAATATATGTAAACTCATGATCAGAAAAGAGCTAGGTTCATCATTTTGCTATTAAAATCTAGCTGATGCATAGCAAATGAAAAATTGCCCTGCAGAGTTATCATATTAGTAGCCTCAATGAAAGCTCAAATTACAGTTTTAAAATGAAAAAAATGTAGTAACAGAGGCAATATTTGTAAAAGCAGCATCTGATTATTGAACGATGCTTTCAGCGTGGAGTCACTCAGATAACATTGTCTGTCATAGCTAGTTTGTTTTATAGACAACTTCTATCATGATACAGAAATCAAGACCTTGATGGGGCAAACCCCCCCCCCACCCCGCATCTCACTTATGCTGTATTTAGATCTCTCAAGTGGAATATAAGCGGAATCAATTTTGTCTCAAGTGTATATATCAAATAATACTAAAATGGAAAGGTGAAGAAGGAAAGTGACCTACAGCATAATAAAACCCAGAAAAAAACCTGAAACCACCTTCACCACCTCCACTTCCAATTGTCTCTCAGAAAGCAAAGAGTGACTTTTGGTACTGTCAGTTAAAATTATACTGAAAATGGCTCAAGATAAGAGAACTAAGAACTTCAATAATCTATTGCAAAGATTATAGTCAAAGGAAAAAAAATGTTATTAGATATGCTGTAGAAAATCAACTTTATATTTTATATGTGTGTATTCTGCTCGTTATTGTGGTTTTGCCTTTTTATATTGTTGTGGTTTAACCCGGCAGGCAGCTAAACACCACACAGCCATTCACTCACTCCCCACCCTCCCCAGTGGGATGGGGGAGAGAATCAGAAAAAAAAGTAAAATTCATGGGTTGAGATAAAGGCAGTTTAATAGGGCAGAAAAGGAAGGGATAATAATAATAATAATAATAATGATGATAAAAGAATATACAAAATAAGTGATGCACAATGCAATTGCTCACCACCCGCCAACCGATGCCCAGCCAGCTCCCGAGCAGCGGTCGCCGCCCCCTGGCTAACTCCCCCCACTTTATATACTGAGCATGACGTCACATAGTATGGAATGTCCCTTTGGCCAGTTTGGGTCAGCTGTCCTGGCTGTGCCCCCTCCCAGCTTCTTGTGCACCTCCAGCCTTCTCAGTCAGTAGAGCATGGGAAGCTGAAAAGGCCTTGACTAGTGTAAGCACTACTTAGCAACAACTAAAACATGGGTGTGTTATCAATATTATTCTCCTACTAAATCCAAAACACAGCCCTGTACCAGCTACTAGGAAGAAAATTAACTCTATCCCAGCCAAAACCAGGACCTACATGCACGATCGTCCACAGTCAATGGAGTAATAGCATATTGCAAATACAGCACAGCACCACATGGTGGCAATACTGTACAGCTAGTTATGTTACTTTTCCAACTGTTAAAATAATTGCGATAATTCTGAGAATGACATTATTATGTTAGTTTATGTTAGTTCAATAACTAAGCAGTGTATTCATACCTGGGTGTCCCAAATGCAGGACTTTCAGATTTTGATGCTTCCTCTATAAGAGGCATAACAATTTTCTCCATTGAGTCCGTAAGAAGAGAAAATGTTGGTTCTACTATGAAATCAATGAAACCTAAAGAAGAAAAAGAGAGAACATCAGATTTTACATTTTCACAGCTCTCAAACCTAAAAATAAATACTTGATATCAGGCTGATTTTCTGCTGTAGTCCTGATTCAATATACTAGATACCACTAGTATAATCTTGAGGAAAAAAACACAACTAAAAACAAAAACACCTGAAGCTGTACAGATATAGCTAGATATTAATAATTATAGCTTTTCATTCCTTTTTCTTGTAAATTTTATGCACTGCAGAACACACCTACCATTTGAAATGAATATTAATTATTGAATAGAAGGGTCTAGTTGAGCCAAGGAGCTAGAAGTCATACTGTCTCTTTTACCATTCAGATCTTCTTGCCAAGGAGTTAATATTTCAAACTGCTGTTTATTATTCCGTGGAGGTAAAGTGTTATTTCACAGTGTGTAGGAGTGTTCTGTCAAATCAGTGAAGAGAACAAGTAATATCCTTAGGAGACAGCATTCATCCCACAGTTCTGAGATGTCAGCTCTGAACAATGTCTTTTACATTTTAAAGTGCTCATCAAGGTATGGAATGACACAGTGAGAGAATGAAGCATTATTCTCTGCTGAGCAATTAACAGAAAAAAAACCTGCTAAAACATGAGCTAGCGATGGATTTCCAGATGTCTTCATACTCTAACCATGCAACACAGCACAAAGGTGAGCAACAGGGCTTCAGCCTAGGATCCAGCTTCCCTCCTGCAGTAGGTATGATGCTTAAGCATGTTGCCTTTCAAGTCCCAGTGAAATGGAATAAAGGACATTTTGAGTGACAAGATCAGACAGGATGACATGCTTCAGTTCAAGGATAAGACACTGTCACCTGTAGAATCTCTCCCCGAGTACTGTGTTCACTCACATGAAGGGTACAGCTATTGGTAGGACATACTGCAGTTAGGATTGACAGGAACAGAATGCAGTGGTCCTTGTCAACCCAAGGAGGCTTGACGCTGTGTAGTTTGACCCTGCCACACTGACAGTCTTAACTGCAGTCCAGAGATCTGATGTATGAATTAGCTTTAAGTTGAGATGCATCTACAAAACGGTACTAGGCTTTCAGATTGTAGTAGAGACAGACCTGTGAGTTTTTGAGCAAGAGTCAATCTGTCTGAGGACATGATCTACCAAACTCTAAAGCGTGTACAGTAAAACTTGGGCTCACGTCCAGTACTTTGGTTAATCCCTCTCCTTGACATTGCATGTGCTGAAATAACTTCATGGTCTTCTGAGACCAGCGCATTTCTGCTGTAAGAGCATATGAGTTTGGTGAACAGATAGGTGCAAAGAAATACCTTCTATATGACGGCATTTGGAACATTTAAAATTCAAAATGGGTATAAGAAGAGTCCACATGATTTTACGTGCTCCTACACATACAAGAAAAAGAAAAACACAACTTGCCATTACCTATTTGGGACTGAGCTACCAAAGTAGACTTGCGGTCACAGAGTGGTGAAAACTGAAGACCTAAAGCAGCCTCCTTGTCTCCCTGCAAACAACAACATTTAATATTATAAGCACATATTTGATAGAGGGACAGAGAGACAAAGGAATCTGAACATTTTTAGTATTTATTCAACAGATTACTTTGTTCACTTATACTCCTGAATAAAAACAACCCACAGGCAAAAAAACCCTCATTATTTATCTTTACATTTTCAGGAAAAGTAAGTCAAAATTCTAACTTACATTTGATGATTTTTACATAAAGGAACTTATTGCAAGCAAGTTCTTTTCAAAAGCAAGGCGTCTGCCAATGAGATTTAACATGTATGAAGTCCTTCAATATTCAGAGTTTAGTCCTGCTGATCCCAGATGTAATGGGATTGGAGAATTTAGACAGGTTTGTAACAGTATGCCAAACGCTGTGTTTCCTTCTGTTACATTCATTTATCCAACGTGTAAAATTTCTTCAGTGGATTTACACGGGTCAAGGGCATGATCTGACTTGAACTCATTCTCACTAGCAAGCATGTCTCTCTGCTGCTGAAGCCATAAAAAAGCACAAGCTCGATTTCATTACTCAGATGACTTGTACAAACCTAGTTCTGAAAATATTTCAACACCTAACACATTAAAAGAGGTTTTTTTTCATAACAGTATTAACAGACAGGGGGATGTTATCTCCATTTTCAGCATGGTAGACCAACTGACTTGCAAAAGCTCAAAAAGAAAGTCTGGTGGTGAAAAAAAAACCCTGAAAAGACATCTTTCAAAGGAGGCTATAATTTGTGTTGCTGGACAAACCTGGCCCCAAGAAGCACTGACATTATAGATATAGGAAAACTTAGTCTTTCAAGTAAAATGGCTCTACATATTACGTTAGTCATGGAGAGTGCTGTTTCATGATCATTCAGTGGGGAGCAGTACATGAACATTTTCCCAAAAATCTCATCAGAAGCTGATGGATGAAGGGGGCAGTATCAACCTTCCTTAGTCTTTTCATTATATATTATTGAATTAGATTTGGGAAAAGTTTAGAACTATAATATCAATAAAACCATTTCAGCCACAGGAACAGAAGTAGCTCACAGATTGTGTTTCATGTGGAAGTGGAGAATTTTATCACTATGGCCTTTAAATTTTACGCCCAAGTGTTCATAATTTGACTTCAGAGTGTAGAAGAACACATGAACGCTTACTACTAGGGGCAGTGCTAGTGGTATCTCCATGTAAATGCAGGAGTCAGATTGTGATATAATATAAACTCGGGGTGGTTCTAACAATTTCAGCCATTGTTGAATACAGGACTTCTAAAGCAATATAAATTTTGTAATCTTCCCTTAACTAGGTATTAAAAAAGAGAAAATTACACAGTAGCAAAGAATCAGTTTGAATTTTTTTATGTTTTTAAGCAGCTCTTTACCCTAATTATGAATTACTTTCCAATTAATATAATACATAATTAATATTTAAATGTCATGTAAGTCTAAGTCTATTGTAAATTGTAATAATGGACACAGCATTGATATTTAAATTGATCATTACAATTTCATGAGATTTAAAATAAAAAAAATCAAAAAACTCACTGGACAAATTCTCTTTTTGTGCTTTTGGATCTATTCAGACTGACAGCACAATGCTATAGGAGCTGTGATACTTCTTTGAGTTCCTTGAACTATGTATTTCTTTATTTTTAAGGTTTTGAGATGGGTAGATGTATTTCTATTTTAAACAAGTAGCTCAGATTTTCCTTGGCATTGTAACACACTTTCTGTAGTCCTTGCTTTTAATCTTAAAGCGTTGCTTGGCTTTTTCCCTGAAGTTAACCCTGGCACATATTTTAACTGTTAGCTGCAGTTAACAAACTTTTTGTCGAGGTGAAAGTTCATTTTTTGCTGGTGCTCACTACTTTGAAAGCTGCCTGTTAAAGCATTGTTTTTGCACCAGCAGTTTCAGGCTCTGCTGCTTTTTCCCATAAGGCAGTAGAAGTAGTTGAATTACTATTTTTAAAGAAAAGGAGGAATTAGTGGGTTTTGTATACATTTGGACTACTTCATCCTGGCTGACACAGATTTGGAAATCCCAGAGATTTCCGCCACACACACTCAGATCAACAGACCAGAGGATGCACAACCAAGCCAGTGCATCTAGGAAGCAGGAGACCTACTGTGTCTGCACTGCTCAGTGCATTTATATATGTACAGTTACTTCATCACATGTTAAATGTGTTGGAACTACTCCACACACGCTGTTCTAAGTAGTACATATAAAGAGGGATTCAGTTCTTTGCACACTCCTCTACAGCCTGAAAGACTTTCACAATTTGTACTGCTGAGTTGCAGAAATACATATATGGTGATTTGATTCTATTGTTAAATGCCTTCTGAAGACTTTGAGCAGCTTATTTGGGATCCAGTTACTTCTTCTAATGAAAGGATAAAGGAATAACTAAAACATTAGCTGATCCTATGCACTCAAAGACCAATGTGGTACTGTTTATTGCTAATGCTACATCCACTTGACTGGACATATTGCCTCACTGTCCCATGGGCCCTGTCTAGTCCGACTCTCTGTGTCTAAAATGTTTTTACAGTTGGTCATTTCTGACCTTTTCAAGTAAAATATATCTGGGGTAATCTGCTCCTCCTCTTTCAAGTTCGAAATCCTCATCATTTCCATTTACAGAAGCAGACACAAACTCATGACCCTACTCAGTATTTCCACAAAACTTAGTCCATTCATTATTTAGATTAAGACACCAGCTCTCCAATCTGTCTCCCCAGTGCAAAGCCCAGAGTCAAGGATGTCCTGATGCTCCCTGCTGAGAATTTGTATAAAGAACCTCTAGGAACCGAGCAAGAACATTCTAGGGCAGATGGGCCTAACAACTTCATGGTTTATCATACTGACTTTTTTATTCTCTGACTCTTTTTTCCAGGGTGACCCATCTGATTTGAAAATGTCAGCATATAGCAAAATAACGACACTCAAGATGAGCAAGACATACACTGTTCCATTGTCTGTATTAACCATTTTTAAAACCTGTGTATAACTGTAGAAACTGTGCAATACCTAAACTGGATTTTGGTTATCAATTGTACTTCAGTAACTGTTATGTTAAAAATGTGCATGGTCACAAATATTCATTACAGGGAGAATATTCCCCCTTTGGAGAAATGTTTTTTTTCACCTGCTGTGAGTAAAGAAATGGCAGCAGTGACCCCACATCTACTGAGCTTTCTCTTTGAATTCAGTATCTTGCAGAAATGAAAAGACTTTCACAAAGGTGTGTCTTCATTTTTGTTTTAGTATATACGGCCACAGCGTTAACAGGATGATACCATCTAACCTCTGGCTTTGGATCAGGCTGTTATGAAAGCAAAACCTTCAGGTCTATGTGGCATATGCATGGCAAGCACTGGCAAGGAAAAGAAATAGGAAGGCTTTCTGAAATGTGAAATGGAGACAACTTTTTGCCTTCTTTGCTGAACATGAACTCTTCATATTTTCAAGTCCCTCATCCTACCCTGCTGGTGCTTCTTTTCAACTCAAAGCATATATAAATCTCTGTCTACAGAATGAAAACAGCTTGACAGGTTATATCATTATTGAAAGACAAAAAATGCTACAACACTCAGAATCCTGGTATCAGCTGAAATAGATATAAAGCTATGACAATTTCACCTTATTCACGCACATAAAAGTTGAATTAATGTCAGTAGCATGTACGAAGAGTAAGGAATATATACTACTGACTATGCTTGTCAATCACAACCAACGGCATCCTTGCTGGTAGACTTATGAAAAGATTTAGTTGTGTAACCATTGCTTCTTGAACTAGATTTATTAAAAGATTTTTAAAATGGCACCTGTCGAAAAAATTCTTCCATCAGGGCCATGGTCCACCGGTAGTGCAGTTCCCAGGATTTTGCTGGATGGCTTATGTCTGCTGCATGTAGAATCAAAGACATGGCTTTGGCTTTGTCTACCCTGTCAATTCAAGGACATGCTCCAATTATCTCAAAACAAAAGCAACTATTTAAATTCTTTTCTTGTACATGAGCTCATTGAAAGACTATAGATAATGAACAGAATGGAAAATAACCTACCCCTCTGTCTGCTGTAGAGTATGTCGCATTGTTTTAATTTGTTGAAAATGACCCGACATATCTGTAGACAAGACCATCTCAATGACCAAGCTACGCAACTCCCTAAGAATAATTAAAAGCAAATGACTGATTACAATTCATTTATTCTACGTTTGGTACATTTGTTTAAGCAGTACTTGTTAATTTATAACTTTCTAAACAACATCACGGGTTATATTATGTTTTAAAAAGCATTTAAATAAATTATTAACAACTTGAACTTTGTATCCTAAAGGGATTCTGTGAAAGCAATGTACTTCAGAAAATGCATTCTGCAATCATTGTTTCAGAGTCACACTGTTTTGTAATTCCTCTTTTCTAGTGTATAAACTAAAATTACATGCAGTTCTGTCACCCATTATAAGTCTTTCCTTATTTTTCCAACAGTAGAGTATTCAAAAAACCAGTCGGTCTCTGGGCTTACCACCACACAAGAGGATATATTTGTGTCTTTTATTACAACCCCCATATTAGTGCAGAGCAGGCATAACACTAAACCTAGGAAGAAGGCTGTGGAAACACTCAGAAGAGCAAGAAGTATGACATGTGAAACACTATCAACATTATACCAATATATGAACATTATGACAAACTACCCTTCATCTCAAAAATACCTTAATGCCTATTTCATGAATCAGAACAAGTTCAGGATTTATAGTTTATCTATATCTTGTTATTATGGTCAGAGATGTTGGCTTGTCCGTCAGCTTTCTATTAAATGAATATGAAAATAGCAAAACATGAATCATGTAAGAAAGTGTATTAATTCTCATTGTATATGAAAGTACATTAATTTTGTCACAAATAATTACTGATTTGGAAAATTCTGTTTCCTCGATGTAGAAGGATTGTATATAGACCATGTAGGAGTCTACTGGGTCTTTATTTACATGCTTTTTAAATGGCCTAGGAGGATTTATGTGCAAGAGTGTTGCTTATGTGTATATCGGGTACAATTCACCACATTAAATCTTTGATTATGTAGCATATATCTTCATGAGCACACTCCCAATCTTAAGGGGTGTCCAAGTAACAATTACAACAGTAGAATCCTACTTTAGTCATTCTCACTGATCTTTCATATTGTATTCATATCTTTGATTTATTTAACAACGCTTTTTTTTCAAAAGACTACATTTTAAAGAGGTAAATTGCAGTTTTCTTTAGGGCTGTTAGAATAGTTTGTTATAAAAATGATCAAGATTGCTTTTGAGCCAAATTAATTGCATATTTAAGCTGATTGTCCTCATTGATTTTTGTGTATTTATTCCTGATTTGCTTTGATGTAACTGGATAAAGACTCAATCCTCTCACTTCTACTCAATAATATGCAGCCATAGCAATTTGTGTTTAGAAAATGCCTTACTTTATCTGACCTCATAATAAGATACTAATTAATTTGCCTCCCAACTGTTCCTCCTCCACGTTGCTTTGAATCTGTACCCTTCAAACACAGCCAAACCCATTAGAAAAAAAAAAGAAAAAAAAAACAGCTAACTGCATGAAAACTGAGGGCTCTTTATTGTTAAACCCTGTTGTTTGTAAGACTGAAATAATTATCACTTCCCCTTTCTATGGGATATTTTCCTAGGAACTTTCCATGTCTGAACTTTTAAGAGTAATCAGAAATAAGCCCACCCCTACTACCCAAGACACACAGAAAAGTAGAACACTGCTTCCAGTAGATTCACACTGTGATGGCAGGAGACAAGCCCTAATTCTTACCTCCATCACCCAAATAAGGATCAACCAATGTAGCACTGTCCTCCTCACACTCTTCTGAAGATTTCAGGCAACTAAAAAGCTGCTTAACAGCAAAGAGCAGGCTCTCCACCTACAGTCCGTGGTTGTTTCCTGCCTGCGTCCCCATCCATCATCAACAGAGAGATGGAAAATTCAGAAGTGACAGGAAAATGTTAAATAAAGCTTTATGAGAGCTATGAATGCTCAGTCTACTACCATTGCACAGAAGATCACTCTTGGACTTAAACCATTCCCAAACTATTTCCCAGGGAAAAAAGACCCTCTCAGCTTCCATACTGAAGGAGACCTCAGCTGGTCTCATAGGTAACTCCTGGACAGAAATCTCTGCCCACTTCATTAAGCAGTCCACAGCTGCAGGCATTGGGATAATACAGTTAGCATTGATCATGCTACCACAGCAAAAAGTAGGCATTGCCATCTTTAGTTCTATGATGGGAAGTGGTAACAGTATTCACTTTTGGCTCATAGCGGTTTTTGGGGGCCCACAATTGGAAGATTACTGGTTTTGAGTATACAGTCTCCATTTTTCTTAAGTAAACTGTGCTGTCATCCTTTCATAACCCTCCCTATATCCATATGTCCAATAGATAGAATACTATAAAACAATAGATGCAAGATGATGTGAAAAAATGACATGAATAATGCTGTAATAAACAAGAGACAAGGAATGGCACTGAATTTCTTGGAAAAGTAGTTAACCAATAAACAGAAACCAGGTTTACCTGGATCTGTCCATGACAAAGACATTTAGTCAGTGGGAAACTAATGAGAAAATCCAGGAACACAGTAAGATCAGCAAAAGCAAGTTGGGAACTGAAGACATAAGGTTCATCTTGCAAGTTGTAGCAGTCCTGCTTTCCTCAGACAGAAGACTCCCAAGGGAAGTTGTGAAAGAAAAGCTGCTCATTATGCATTGTATATAATGCAGATTGTTTTTTCGTCTTTTTTATATAAACAGGCAATACATCAACGTATGCCTTATGACTGGAATGGTTTGAGACATTAATACCGCCTGATGACCTATAACTGTTGACATAACACATGCGGTGCTAAAACACCAGAAGCCTGGCAAATCAAAGGAGAAAGGGGGACAAAAAGGGATCCCTCTTTAGTTATTTAGGGGTGCTAAGTGAGAGAAACAAGACAATATGGAAGAGTGGAATATATTTTCAGAGTTGAGAAGAGGGTGAGAAAAGACTATGAATGTCACATGCGTTATCCACAAAGGACATCCTCATCGGAATGCTGGCAGTGTTTCCCTGCTCAGACCCAAACCCTATGTTTTAAACTTAATTGAAGCTGACAGTTTATTAGCGCATTTATCTTCTTAACATTAACATGTGGAAAAGAAAATGTAATACTATAAAGTCATTCTCAGTCACTTTGCTTCATCTTGCTGAAATAATTAGCAGAACCACAGTTTAAATAGGCAGGGGTATTAAATTTTTAAAAAAAGAAATCACTGCAACTCAAGAAAACAGATCTGACAGTAGTCAAGAAATTAATAAGTGCCAGGAAGTACATTAAAAAGTTGAACAAATTATCATTTCAATTTGCTGCCAATTTGATTCAGTGCAAACTTCAAAACTGTTAGTCTAACAGCATGAATTTCAGTACAGAACCAAGAAGTTTACTGTAGTAATAATTAGAAAATTGAAGAGGTTCTTTTAAGTGGCTAACAGATCTGTCATTGCACCAATGAACAACCGTATCTGATGACAGAGTAACAGGTATTTTTGGATATTAGAAACAAATACCAGGAAACCATCATTTCCATGACTGACCCTCTAAATTAAGTACCGGACTTCAACAGGTTGTGCAGGTTCTCAGACTGGCACTCTGGAAGTTACCAGTTTGTTTGAAAGTACAGACTGCAATTGCCTAGCTAAGTGACAAAACATGGAACTGAGTGTCCTCGTTTAGTTGCTTGAGCTTATTAGTCAGTTCATACATCTCTTCTAAGTTGTACTGAATAGGCCCAACAAGAAACCATAAATTCTACTTTCTCTGGTTGCCAAATCCCACCAACTTCAAAGTGGCTGCATATAGTAGTGGACTGGATCTGTGCAGCCACTGTATACAAACAAAATTCAAAAAACTAAAATAAAATCCTCCAGGAAATCCAGATTGGGTTATAGTGAGAGGAGATTGAAAAGCAAGTGCAAACACACCTAGTCTGTGATTGAGCAACTTCGGAAGGAACGTGGTAGTTTATCACAGGTTCAAAAACCACGGAGAAATGAAATGCAACCGAAGTTAGAGCAAAGGGTCCATAATATAAAGAAAAAGAACTATGGGAAGACCAGACCGAGCAATCTATGCAGAGAAGAGTGTGCTACAGAAATGTGGAGACAATCTGTCACATTCCTCCCTTTATTCTGCTGCAGTCCACTGGAGCAATATGTATAAACTTCACACACCTGGAAACCATAGGCTCCTCTTTCTGTTGTGCAATATTTTCTTTCACAGAGGAGTTGCCATCCTATCACTCTTTTCCCCAGTGGCATAACAAAAGGGAACAACTGGGATGCACTGTACTAGCTGGCAGCCAGATTTCTGTCAGCTGGAGCAACTGCATGTTGCTGCAGGGATTCCCAAACTATACTCATTTATGGTGGTCTCCAGTGATGAATGAACCAGGACTGGGGAAGCACATAAGTGTCTCCAAGCCATCCTTGGTCCAGTCCTGAACTGCAATTCAACTGAAGAAGATCTGCCCCTCTTCTACCTGGAAGCATTCTCTGGTAGGACACAATATGAAACACCACCACTTCAAAAAAAACATACTCAAGGCAACAAGTCTGAAGATTTGAAAATCATTACCCCTCTACAATGATGGTTTTAAAAGACAGAATACCAGCCTCTGATGGCTGTCTACTGGCGCAATCACTTTCTCCATACTCAATAGCTAGGACAAGCAAAAATAGGGTCATGGAGACCTATCAGCCCCAAAACTATCAAGTCCAAAGTAGTTCCAAGCAGAGCAAGGCTAACTCATGTTGGCAATGAAAATCTAGGTGTATATGACACTTATTGCTGAAGTTTACACTTTGCTTCCAGAGATATTTCTCCAGAACTAAATTTACAACACAGACTTTATGATAACTAAATCCAAATGAGTATCCTCTGAGAAGAAATCTTTTATGAGAATGAAAAAGTGTATGCTTCCTCTCTCACTTTGTATTAAATAAAAAGTTAATAATACTTTAATATTAAGTGTTTTGGAGTAGCTACAGAAAAATAATTCATTGAAAACCAAAAGGGTCAGCAGACTTACATTCAATAAATGCTTTATTTAGGGGTGTTCCTGATTATGTAGATAAGTAAAATCATGTAAATCTACCATGTAAAACAGTCCTTCATCTGTAAATATACCCCACACCAAAATTTGATCTGACATTCACATATTCCTTCATAAATGTATAGTTTTGTGAAAATATAAATAAAGCAGAGTATAGCTTTGTTATTCATGGTGGCATCATTCACAGTGGGAGACTTTCCTGGAAGTAGAACATTTCTCTCTCACTTCACAATCCAGACAGAAGACTCATATAAGTGCTATATGTAGCGATCAAAGATATACAAAGATAACGTATCCTTTTTAATAATGGAGAAAGTCTTATCTCTAACACTTGTTCATTTTGGTCTTACAGGTCTTAGTATTTGTGACATATCAATTATGATCCTGATTCTTGCAGCTGGTCAAATTTTCTTCAGGAATTACACTAAAATTAAGAAGAAAACAAGAGATTTCTGTAGCGCTTCTAGGCCTTTACTTTATTATTTTTGGATTCTCCTGATAATTCATTTTTTAATGCTTAACCAAGACGTGACTATGCTATTGCTATGTTACACAGCAGAAATCCCAGAGGCAGTAGTGCTCAAGCTCACAGCAGAGTGTGACCCTGCGCTGAGGTTTTAACCCACCATTGGACAAAGGTAACCTAGCTCAAGTGGGGTAGCACTGTGGTTTTCCTGAAGAGCTATCTCACCTGAGACACTGTCCACACAGTCCAACACTGTGCCTCATAAATGCACAACTTCACTTGAAAAATTATATGGAGTCTCCCAAACAGTACTTCTTTACACCACAGCAGCCTTCCCTAAGCTCTAAATATCCACTACCCCTTCCAGTGCCAAAGTTTCTTCCTGTAATTTGAACTCTTAAAACAGACTCCACAGGGTAGGCCTGGTGGTTTTTATTATTTTTAAATACTGGAATTAAGTTTGAATGTCACAGTAGGTCTTACCTCCAGTCATCTTTGGTTAAATTTGCCAGGATGTTCATCTCTTCTTCTTGCATGAGTCTATAAGCAGCACTTACATGATGATTTTCAAGAACAGAACGATCATTGTACAATATTGCAACATCTGACCTAGTGTTAAAAGAAACAAGGCAGAATTTGCAATAGCATCCCGATGATGGCACTGGGGAAGGCAGGACTGTGTATTCTCTATGAGAACTATTGACTATATATATATTGAACTATGTTTATTTGTTCCTATTGTATCAAATACTGACAAAGTTTCCATCTTAAATGCATAAAAAATTATCATTCTACCATTGTATATACTGTTTGTGGGAAAGTCACATTTTTAAATGTGTAATGTTTTATTTATATGATACAACTGTGACAAAAATTTGTGAGGGGATCTTTGAGCTTCCTGACTGTAGATAGGATCGTAGAGCAACAGAAATGCTCTAATTGGGCCATTCAAGAGTACTCTTTGGCAATACAACCATTTAAAATTCAACGCATTCACCAACAGAGGGGGCTCCACACATAGCATGGGTATTAAGAATTTACTACCCCTGTTCTGAGAGACATGTGCTTTGGCCCACGTCACTCATAATCAGAAGGACTTGTAAATAATAAAATATTAAAAAACTTCAATTTCATATATTTTAAACAGATGCCATCTTTTGTCAGAAAAACAGACAAACCTTGAGCCTCATAACAAAGGAATAGAAGAGATGCTAAGCTGAAATTTGATTGCATTCAAGTGCTTCCTAAAGCCAGACCCTTACCATAACGTTAGCACCCTCGACAGTACCTTTTCCCTCTTAATTAAAGACTAACGTACAATACCAAAATTATATATAGATTTTCACAAATTTTGATGTGGTATGGATTTATCATACTTAGCTTCAAACTTCATTAATTCTTGTGGAATTTGTTTCCCCAAGACCTGATCTGACTTGCTAAGCAACCTCGGGTCTCCCCTCTCTGCTACACTTCCGTTCTGATAAAACTATTCCTGAGTATTTCAATTTGGTCAACTGCAAAGTCTGTACTAGAAGAAAGGTATGATGATTTAGCAGCACAGCTTACTATGATATTAATAAGACAAATTCAACCTCTTGTTCTGTTGAGCAATAGTGTATATTCAGTGTAACCACCCACATGTATGGTATGGTACCAAGGAATCTAAAAAATTAAAATAGGATTGGAAACATTATTTAGACGGAACAAACCATAACCTACCTAAATAATGATGAACCTACCTAATATGTTTACATCCATAATCCTACTAAAATCATGGGAAAATCTGTGATTTGCCAATCACATATGTTTATGAAGCACCCCTTGACCCACATAGCTACTTATGGCTAGTTTTAAACAGTGCTAAGATTTGCTATGACTGTGACAGCCATTTCATCAGCTTTTCTCAGGCAAAAGAAGCCTGGAATCACGTCCCTGGGATGCCACATCAGGGCCAAGTTCCACTAGGAGGGAAGAATGAACTCCATCACAAAACAAATACCTGTTTGCAAGTATGCCCAAGTAACATTCAAAGGCTAACAGCTTAATTCATTTTCCACTTTTGCAATACTTCAGAGCAAAATACTAAGGACAAAAATAGAAAAGTAATATAAACTTGGAACAACAAACTGAAGTTTATTTTTAGCTAGACTATGCTGAGGGAGAGAAGAATTATGTCCTTATTTCAGCTGCAGATCTAGAATTTGTTCATTACTGAAGGGCACATCTCGGGGTACAAGCAAGTTACGGATTTAATTTAAATGTAACCATTGGGCTCTTTATCCATATAGTTGGGTGCAAGGATGCTTCTTTTCAAAGTAGTAATATTCCTAGCACAGAGCTGTTTTGTTAAAATATGACAGTGCTTTGCTGAAATTGTTTTTTCAAGAGCAGGTAAAGCAGACTCCTCAACTGAAGATACTAAAAACAAAGTATAGCGTAGTGTGAGAGAACAATAAGATGCTTCATACTAGGCTAAGTATCAGGTCTACCATTTATCACCCAGTAACGGATTGGTCAGTGATTTTCCTTTGAAAACATTTTAAAGGAGAGCGGTATATGCTGCTGTTCTGGACCAGAGGCTAGGATGACACGCTGCGCCTGCATGAGAATACAGTTAGCCCGACTTTCAAACTGGATTTCTTTCTAGATTTCTTTTTCATCACTACTGCAGATGCTGTCAAAACATGCTAGGAGATCAGTATTTCTAAAGCTGTACTTGAAGGTTTCTCCCTCTATACTAGGACCCTGTAAGTTTAATACACAACTTGAAACAAAATGTAGCACCTGAAGTAAGTGCAGACACATTGCTGAAAGTAAAGTGGTATTTCTCTGGGGACACTATGGAAGAAATTTTTGAGTCAAAAGTATCAGAATTTAAGTGAGCAGATAGAGGGGTGAGGGGTTTTCAAGTGTGTGTTCTGAATCTTTTTGAAATTGCTCTTGACATATCAACTCCAAAGCGTAATGATTTCAAGCACTATGGAGCTAACTCCTTACTTTTCCACAATGTCTTTGTTCATGTGAGCAGACCCATTAACTGTACGGAGGTCAAGGAAGCAATGTGTAAAATCAGGAATGACCTGGCTACTTCCTGGCTGTATCAGTAATAAGTATGAAACAGTTCAGACCAATGAACAGCAAACTCCAGAGATGACAGTTAAGAGACCACTTTGCTTACCTTGTCTGAATATGAAAATTGTTTGTGGTCCCAGTATGTTCATAATCATGGACGGCAGCTGCAAAGATCATTGCTAAAATTTCCAGTTCTGTGAGCCAGTGCTGGTAAATGAAAACCAAATCTTAGTCATATTTTCTATAGTAGCCTAATTCAGATTAAACACTACAGTACTGGACATGTTTTGCATTACCTTCAACTTAAGTAAACATTATTCTTGTCTTATTCTAGGTAACTATATACCCATAACACTTCAGTATTATACAGTAAAAGAACTCCTTGTACTTATTATGATTTCTCTAAGACCAAGTTAATGTCCTTATGGTCACTAGCAAAGTAAATACTGGCAGCCAAAAATATAAGTTATTAAGATAATTACATGGTATACTTTGTAGCTGTTTTGAGTAGGATGTATCTAATCTGCTAGCCCAGCTTGCTAAATTATGGTACATTCATCTAAAAACTTGACATGAAGTTAAGGTTATAATTTGTCTTTTAGTGAACAATATATACAGTTCATAATAAATTCTAGGTACAACACCAGCATTAACTATATTTTACCAGTGTACATAGTACTAAAATTAGGCCCACGGGAGATTTCTCGGTTCTAAATTTTTTCATACTTTTTACTAGTGCAAAAAAGGGTGCATAAGGCTAGTATACAGTTACACAGACCAAAAGGTAATACAGGTCATGTGTACAAAATAATGCGGACCCTAGAGTGTTGTGCACTTTTATACCTCTTGCTAACTGAGGCTGTTCTGTATCGCTCGGTTTGTAAAATAACCTCTGTTATTTTATCTTTCAAGTTCTATTTCTTGAATGATAAATCATACTTGAGGAGAAAATTTTCTCCATCTAAAAATGGGGGCAGAAAGTCATATGATCATTAACCCCCGCAGTCATAGGACTGATTAAGTCGAATGCCAGTCAAGCATTTCCACACATATTTCAGATTTTTTTAAGCTTCTGTACTAAAGGATCGAAGAATGATCTCATCCTTATGCACCCATATATGCACATACATGTGTATGGATGGATATAAGATATATAAGCTGTCAGTAGTATAAGCTGCCAATAGTAGTGCTTCTTTCAAAGAAGAAGAAAGGAAAGAGTCAAGATTCATAAGTAATGTGAGAATAATGAAATAGGTCATGCAGTGACAAAATAAGACTGCTGAGGAACAACAAGTACTGGCTGTTGGTGAAGCAGTATAGATTAAAAAAGGTCACAACAGAGGAATGAGAATGTACTGTAAGCAGTTCTAAAAATGGAAACGATGACCTTCATCGTATTGTGTGTCACAAGAAACCAGGCCATGACCGGTCCTGGCTCTCACAATGTTTTCAGCACACCAGATAGAATAGAAACCCAGAAATTATTAGTAACTAAAGCTAAACATAAACTTTTTCTTTAAGACACCTTTTCAAAGATCAGCTTTTTTAGTAACAAAATAGTTGCTAGACAACACATTTTTAAGTAGAAAAGCATTCCTTACAAACAATACCTATGGGCTACACAGAAACTTCATACTGTACTATATGAGAGCAAGTGTTCTAGAGACTGTAGCTGAACAGTCAAAATTCAGATCAGTATTCAAATCAGAAAAGCAAAGAACTACTTTACCTAAAGGATTTCTAAGGAAGCAGGAGAAAGCTCTTAGAGAGACAGTTAACAAGTGTTTTTCTCAAAGGGAGAGGAAAAGCAGGTATCTGGAGGTCTGCAAGACTGCAAAGGGCTGGAACCTGCTTCCCTCCTGGAAGATACTATACCATGCAGGTGTAACACCTATTGGAAAAGATCTCTTCTATTGAGAGATGTTTCCAGTATTATAAATTGCTTATAAGTAAACAGATACATTTCATCTTTTCATGAGCTCTGGTTCAAACTATTTTCTTAAACAATGATGGATTAAAAATGAGTAAGAAAGGGAGTCTCACAATGCACTTATTGACAGTAAAGACATTTTTTCCTTTAGTTTGAGCAATACAGGTACGTGGGAGGAGAAAAGGGATGGTGGGAAGATGATCGATGACTCAAAAGTTCTTTACAAGATGTATTCCCTGGGACTTGGATTCTTAAATCTTTATAAAGAGGAACACTTCATAAATGCAAGCTTGAGTTATATATTTCAGTCGTATCATCTGGGATTTAATCTCTTGGGCAGGTTAATAGATTGTGTGCCATCTGTGATATCTAACTTCCTAACACATTGATCTGAGGTGACTGGATATTGTTTCTTAAAATAGACAGTAACTTTTGGAAAATACAATGACCATTTTATTTCTTTAAATGCAGCTCTGCATATGTGTTATTCCTCACTGGAATCTCTCTAAACGCTTGTGGAGAAGCATAAACTCTGACCAGCCAATTTTTTTGGCAAATGCTGAAATATGGCTGTTTTCCAGGTGCCTATAAAAGATACAAAATGTATCAACAACAGGAATCGTGAAAAGGATTTTCTAAAACCCAGCTTTTTGAAACATTTGTTTCAGTATGTCTTTCAGAAGTGAACAGGGAAGTCAGCAATTCTTTGCAAGATTTGGGAGTCAGTATCAGTTCCTTAAGATACAATGAAAGAACTTCAAATCGTGTGCCAGTCTGAGAAAAACACACAGGAATTTGATATAGAATTGCATCAAATTGACTTCAACCCAGGTATTTGTTAGAAGATACAGCAGAGTTAAAAGAGGCATTACAATGGACATATTCTGAAAACTATTCACTTGAGAAGCAAACTTCAAATTGTTATTGAGTAAGGTTCTGCAGGGTTAACAAGGCAACAGGAAAAAAAACCCAACAAGTTAAATAGAACATTTGCATGAGACTGATGCGTTCTCAAACTGCAAATGACATTTGGGACAGAAATACTTTGCAAGCTGCAGAATCACTAGGCCTTCTTTCAAACGCTGATTTCTATAAACGTTCCTTCTTCTTGGCAAGCTATATCTGTTTGAAGGCACTCTTGACTAAGTGTTGTCCTAGTTAGACATCTTTCCAAGAACTTTCCAATATCATAATTCAGCAATTCAAATGTGAATATTTAAAACCTGGCCTAATTTTATAGGAATATTTTGTAGCAGCATTGCAACATTAATGAGGTTTTACAGCAAAGTAAAAGAAATAAAGTCTAAGCTTTTTCTGAAAATAGTTGTCCAAATCACATCAAAGTGCAGTTACAAGGTTAAGACGCCGATATTGTAAAACTTGAGTTGGAAAGGCCTTTCTCATTCTTGTGTGCACCCAGTGGAATAGCAGATATTCAAATACAAAACAGGTTCCTTCATTCAGTATTCAGAGATACCCGAAGTGTGTTGCAAAGTTGTTTGATCAATGGCTAAACATCCCAAATTGACTAGGATAGCTCTGGAAGTTGGAACCTTGTCCTGCCATCACAAAGAAAATACAGATGCTACTGTCTTTTTTGAAGGGTGGAGTGGCACAGTTACAACAGGCCAAAGAGATGTTTATGATGTATGATACAACAGAGGGATTTTCCTCCCTGTTAAGTTGTTGATCCAGATATATACCCGCAACAAAGACATGTCTCACATCACTTAATGCTTGCAGTTGATCTTACAGTAGAAGACAAGGGTAGGATAGGAACCATGATGTAACCTCTTCAAGCTTTTTCTTTTATTAAAATATTATTTTGATAGGTAAACATCTTATACAACAACTTTGGTTTGGAGTGATCTTGGCAAGAGCTGTCTAGACTATTCTTCAGTCTAATATGGAAGTCCTTTCTCAAGAAAATGTCTCAATGAGAAAAGGAACCTTGGTTGCTGAAGATTCCAGGCTTCACTTTGCAAGTAGTACTTGTGTTAAAATGTAGCTTTAAAAACTTGATGCTTAGAAGCAAAACACTTCTTTCAAACAGTAGAATTAAACCCTGTAATGCCTAGGTACTTGTTCTTTCCTCCCCTGAAGCCAAAGGCAAAGCTTCCAGTGAGAAAAGGCTTAACATAAGTCAGCGACTATCATTTATTATGTATACATTGGAGCACAAGCATTTAGAGTCCGCCCTAAGACCAGAAATCAGACACTATCAATTCCCACCTTTTTTTTTTTTTTGAAAGAAATGCATTCATAGTGAAGACAAATCATCAAAAGTCCATTGACAGAAATGTCCATTTTCTTTCAGTCAGTATTTACTTTTGTCTAGCAAACTGACAGTGAGGAGCCTCCCACTGCTGGTATTAAATCAAAGGTAAGTGTTTAGAGTAAAAATGTTTGCACAGACTCACTTCAGTTCCCAAAGCAAATACTAAAAAATATTGGGATATTGCAATAGTGCAAGGCAAATGCAATCTGCTGCCTACTATAGGCACATACAGTATGCAAGAGCAGTCCTAAATAAGGTTGTAAACGAAAAGAAAAAGCAGCTGCAGAGTATTTGAGTAAGCCTGCACTGATTCAGTATATCTTTCAATGGCCAGGACCTCAGCAGATACTAAAGCTTCCTTGCATGATCACACCTCCCAGGCTCTGATGTGGAAGTGAAAAATTCTCACCTGCCCACTCCTGCAAATGTATTTTTTTTTAGTATGATATATAATGCCCAAGCCCAGGCAATGAAAAGCAAAAAAGATTTAAGGAGGATTTTCTTCTCTTTTTTCCTCCGCATCAGTTGAGTTCCAGCCTGGAAGAACTGTTAAAATGACATAAAGTTCACAGCCTGAGTGGTAGTTTTGAATCTATCTCTGCACAATTTTCAAGGGAGGTTTTTCCTTAAGAAAAGACAAATGTACACATGTATCCAAAACAGCAGAGTCTAGGAAAAGAAGTAAATTGAACTTTGCAGTATTTCTTACCATGATACCAGTGTGAATCATTATGTAATGCACAGTCTGAGTAACATCAGCTGCATGGATCAAATTGTGATACGGATTTTTGTATTTGCTGTAACCAACCTCAAGAGCTTCAGCAAATGAAATAAGATTGGGAACAGGGATCTGGGGGGAAGCAAAAATTAAAATAAATGGTTTTTTCTTGCATCAGCTGCAAAGTTAATCATGCAATAAACAAACCACAAATAAATATACCGTAGACTTAAGTTAACAAACAACAAAAATAAAATTTAAAATGTAAAGATCTAATATTTTACATGCATCAGGAAGCCTTCACCCAATTCTTGTAGATGTTATATCCCTCTACATACACCACGCACAGCATGTGGTTAGTGTACAGGAGACTGCAGAGCTATCAACCAAATAGTTTTCAAGACATGTCTGTCTGTCTGTACCAGGAATGCATAGATTGCTCAGATAATAAAGACATGACAGATAGGAGTCTAACAATAGGATTATTATTTTTCTTCACCAGTTTTACCTTGTCTGAGACAAGGTTTCCTTGAATCTGATAGTCTGCCTTCCCTTTCTTCTCTTCCTCCAGGCAATGTATGAAGTGCAGGTACTATCCCTTTTTTTTCCCATATAATGAAATGACATTTTCCTTAAGATTTTTTTCTTTATTTTAAAGCTCTGCAAGGTAAACAGTGGGACTGAGAATGGGCTTAAGCCCACTGAGCCAGTAACATTGTGTACTTTCTGACTGTGTTGCTAACGGTAGCCCTGGTGTGGTTCTGACTTCAAGCACCCAGAGCTTGAAGGGAAAAGCTTGATGGGAAAAGCTCAGTCTGGGTTGTCAGTTAAAATTAAAATACTCAAACCAACTTCAGGGTGAGGCAGCCTCTTCAAATGAAGCATGGTGTTTTGCAGCAGAGAGATTTTGAAACTGTAATTAAACTTTCATTCAGTACTATTATAATAATAAATTTGGCACTTTGATCCATTTTTTTACCTCAGCCTTTCAAAGGTGGTTATAAGTACTCCATATTGTGTTGCAACACCCTGCAAACACCACGGAAAAGCAGCCTTCTTTTTATATATGCCCCAAGTTGGTTAGGAGAGGAAGGTTCAGCTGAAACCCCTGCACAGTGTTGGGCAACATACTGTGATCTAGACCATGCAAAAGTACTTAGGATTAACTACAGTTTTCTGCCTTATTAGTAATCTTTGTTCCATGAAGCTGGGACACCGATTCAGTACTGCTGAGTGAATAGGCTGTATACATAATCTGTCTATTCAATACTTACAGCATTTAGCTGCTCATTAGCAACATCCCATCCCAAACTGACTTGACATGGGTGTACATAGCTTTCCATTTTTTGGGTTGCAGAAAAATTTGCATGCTCTAGGTGAAGTTCCATTTGGTAGAACTATTGGCATATTACAATGTTCCATTTGCCATATTCTTTGAAATTCTGCACTGCATTGTACGATAAAATACCATTTCAAACATATCCTAGCTTTCTTGTATTTTAAATTTGACATACTTATTTTTGCATACATATTTTTATTTGTGGCTAGTTTCTGACCTTGAAACGGCTCAAAAGGTCATATCGGGTAAACAGCTCATACATCATAAATTTCAGACTGTGCTCTCCACTTGCTTCATTTAGGGCAAATACGTCAAAAGACCATTTATCAACATCCTGTAGATGAGAAAAAAGAAAAAGAACATAAAGTTTCCATCTATTTAAGTAGGTTTCCAGTTAATCACTGGAAAAGATATTTGGGGTTTTTTTGGGGGGAAAGGGGAGAGTTTGGTGTTTTTTTATTGTCCAACTCTTTCAAACACTACTGTAGATAACACATTAATGACTATTTCAATATTAGTGATGAAAATAGTTGTGCCAGTTATTAATAAAATACTCGCATCAGCTGCAAAGTTAATGACCTATGCAACTTTGTATGCTTCAAATCAAAGGCCTTAATCTTTCAAATTTAACTTTCTGCTTATAAATTGTCTATAGAACCACATGGAGCTCATGTGAATACCCATCCTTTAAACAGGCTATTATGCAATGTCATTAACACTTTAGCCATATACCAATTTGAGAATAATATAACAGTGCTTGACTTTCAGGGGAAAAGGTGAGGCACTACATTCTCAAGAAATACCGTTTTTAATTGCATACATAGCCGTAGGAACTTTACTATTATGAAAGAACACCTTTTGGGTAAACTACAGTAATGCCTTAAATTCACAGCAAATACTGTACTTGTTCCATAAGCTACAGCTTCTTTTGTTAGCTCTATCCCAATACTACTTCTCCTTTTTCTTTCCTAAAAAGGAAACAAATTCTGCTGTCTGGGACACTGGTTACCATACCACTGGGAGCTGATAAAACCATGTCTCACATTTCTATAAAAAATTCTATACAAATTTCATCCTATTGCTCTGATAACATCTAAATGAAATCACAAGTAATCAGTGAAAGAATAAACAGAATCATATGCTATTTGTGAATTTTTAACCATTAACTTCTCTGTTCTGTGTGCTCAGTTCTGTAGTAATAAATATGGCTAGGGTATGTTCAGCAGAAAAATATATTCATTTTACTCCAAAAGTCACTAAACATAAGTACAAATGCATTCAAATTCCACAATGATTAAACTTATTTCACCTTAAATGTTACTATCACTTCTGCTGGGTAAGCCAAACCAACCATGCTGGAAGTTCGTCGGTACATCCTAAAAGAACAAATAAAATATTAAGTAATAGTATTCCTTTAAAAAGTACTGGAACGATTTATCTTTTTTTAATTCATCTTTCACAGTTTGTGAAATAATACTAAGCTATTTGAGGGTCTGATGACAAAGATGACATAAGTCTTTTTATGAACTTATGAGAAAAGCTTCTCTGCTGGTGTATCACCCTCTTATGTTAGTGCAGTCTTTGGTACATTGTTGGTACAAGTACTTGTACTTTGGTACAAGTTTCCAAGCTATAAAGTTCATTCCCAGAATTTTCCAAAGTCCAGGAAATTTCATTACAAATTTAGAGGTTTCATCAGGATTTCTGTATAGAGAAATACAGAGATTGCAGAAATTGAAACCTAAATCCTGGCTCAAAGATTTGCTTCAGGTTCATCCCACCACTTAAGGGATCTTCAACGACAGATGCTGTGGTTAAATGCAGTACTTGCTATAATAAGAAAACAAAGCTCTCACCTTTCTACAAAAATCCCAGCCTGTACCGCATGCACAATGCTTCGGAATTTGGGCTTTTCTTCAGGTCTCCTCTTCACTATTCCCATTTCCCTTGTGAATGTAGAAGCTAACCAGTCCCGCACTTCCAGCGGGACCGAATCCGACTGGATGTCAGAGAGCTCATCCTCAGTGTCCAAAAGCTTCCTACAAAAAAATTAATAACAGGTAACCAAGAAGATGGCAGACTGAAACAAAAAGAGTATGGACAGGTGAACAGCTAACAAAACTTAATTTAACAGGAGCGGAGGTCATCTGTAGAATTGATTCAGGAAATCACTAAATGTCTTCTCTGATAGACATACCGAGGCCACCGGGAAGCTGGGCACAGCAGGTATCTTCCCTCTCTCCCCCTACTCATGTTCCAGAACATAAAAGATACTCAACTGGAAGATATTCAAGTAAAGGCAAGTGAAGATTTTTCTACAAAGATGTCACAGCTTTGGTGGATTGAAGTGTAATCAGTGAGTTATAAAATCCTGAGGAGAGGTCTAAAACAGTGGCTGACACGAGCACCTATAGAAAGAGGGGTTGCTGCTATAACTGAGAACACCAGTGGTCCATCTGATCTGTCCTCCAAAATGGTACAAAAAATATTTTGATACTTACATGCAAAGTAAATTGTATTACATAGCAATGCTATAGAGAATGCATGTCGATGAACACCCCATATACATGTTCATCATATTATTCCACTGCAATAGAAGTATTAAAGAGAATTAATTCCTTCTGTGTGGAGATCTGTATTCCCATTGAAGGCAGGGTAACAAAATCATAGCAGTAAAGATATTATACAAGATTGGATTACAAGCCAGCTTTCACAGTTCTTAGTTGTTCAAAAAGTTAGAAAAGCTATGTGCACCTCCTGCAAAATAGAAAAAGTATTAAAAAGCAACTTCACTTCAACAGAACTGAACTGGAGGACATCAGTTTATTTACAAGAAACATGTAATTACATATTCTCTTAAAACAGACTCAACACTTAAATTCAATTCTATACTTCTATAAACCTACCAAATGTAGGAACACAACCTTTTTCTTGCTGTTATTTGCCTGTATCACTCAGCCTGCTGGGGTTTTCCAAGAACCAAATCCCTTATTTAGTCAGATAACAAGTTTTCCTTCATGCAATTATGCAAGAAACCCCAGAGTTAGGATGACCTGAACATATGTAAAGCATGCCACCCTTTTAAAATATTTTATTAAAAGTGGTACCAATTGAATTGCAAGCATTATTTGGTTACATAGATCTATTTCTCCGGTGATGTCTTTCTGAAACCACACTAGTTTGTGTGAATTGGACACAAAGTAATGATGGACAAAGTATTTTTGAGTGTGATTATCTTATCAGACAATCTGCTTGTCAAGTTAAAACTTGGCGCTCTTCTTCTGAGTGAACAGGATTCCCGGGAAACATATTTGGTGGGAATTCAGCTAACAGCATTTGCAGATGGGTGTTTGGGAGAGGAAAATTATCAATTCCTTTTCCATTTTCATGTTGTCACCTCTGCCGCTGTTTTTTCTTTCTGCTCTTAGCATAAGTGTTGATTCTTCACCTTATTTGTGCACTCTCTCCTCATATTTATTCAGTGGCTCTTTCACACGTTTCGCTTTCTCTGTTTCTCTCCTTCAACATTTTCAAAACCTTGCCTAATCCAGGTCTGCTCTGGCATATAGAGGAATGGAGCAGCAACATGTTTGATGAAGAAAAGCCTGAATCCAGTATAGTTCAAAGGAATTTGCATGTAAACCTAATACTATCTGAAGGATTATAGGAAGATGCCTAGTAGGAAGCATGAAGCCAGAAGTGTTATATAAATTATTTGTGAACAGTGAGCGTAGTATATTTGTGCTCATCTGCCCTGTTCTCAGTTTCAGCAGCTCATATGGCTGGCAGCATATTTTGTGAGACTTTTCAACTGGGGTTTAAAAAAAAAAAATCCATAAAATACCCCCAACAACAATACTGTTTACTGAAATTTTAAGGACAGAGAATTATCAGACTAGGAAGGCTCTTTAACACAGAGTGCAAGAGGAGCAGAATGGACAATAATTATGAGATTTTCTGACAGCGGGACACAAGCCCAAAGTCAGTAATTTATTTTGGAGGAGCGGGACTTGTGTAGGGGAAAGGATTTGGGCAAATTATCTTGCAAATCTGAACCATGGCTGAGACTGACCATAGGACAAAGGCTATAAATTGATTTTATTCCCTAAATTAAAAACTATGTTATAGTCCACTTAAATCCCTACTAGTCTAACACTATTATTAAATATCCCTAGAGACATCAGTACATTTATATTTCTGTGGAATATTTGACATTTGATGTCTTTGTAGTATAATCAGGAATAAACCTTATAATCCCTAAAACATATTTTTGTAACTATTCCAACTGTTACTCAAATGAGATGAAATTATTCCAGCGATAAAAGGACCATGGGCATCGGGCTGCCTCAGAGCACGCAGCAGGGATATTCCACATCACCTGTGCAGCATGAAGCAGAGCTCAACATCAGTTTGCTATAGTCTGATGCAGATCTGAATTTGGGACCAAGTCCTGAGCTCTGCAGATGAGAGCCGCTGGAGTACAAATGAAGGCTAGCAAGACACACTGCAGTTTCTCTAATCTTTTAAACCATTCATCTGTAAAATAGGAGGACTATTCAGTCTGTAAATGATAGTAATAGGAGTTACTTTATGAAGACAGAACAGAGAAAACAGTATTTGAAAAAAATGTTTATTTAACCAGTAATTTTCATGAGACCACTGCTCTCTGATGAGAGGTGACTGAACAATGTGCTATGGGGGAGAGAGAGAGAGTTTCAGTCTCTCTGATTCCTACTTAAATAACTAGGAAAGCAGCTGCAACACAGAATTACATTGTAAGCACAATCCTTTGTAAGTACAAGCTCTTACAGATCCCTCAACACATAACCTCAGTAACTTCTCAAAAAGAATTAGTTTCTTTCAGAAGCCTAACTGAAAAAACATTTAAGGAAAGGAAAGAACAGCTAGTTATTCATCTCATAACTGTCTATTTTCTACACTTTCCTGACCTTTGAAGAATAAAATTTATATTGGGGACAATTACTCATGGCATATGCATTGCTAGAAATGGCCTTTGAAAAAATTCACTAATGACTGCCATTCTTCTGTAATTACAGGGACAGGGCTCATATATGGATCTACAAGTCTGAATAAATGGATGGTTAGATGGATATACAATTTGATGGTAATTTTATTTAGTAAGGGAAATAAGTTAGGTGTAATAGACATACTATTATTACCAATAGTAATAATACTGCACCATACAAACTATGCTTAATTATCACAAATTCTTAGAATCCAATATTCAACTCATTGCACAGTTTGTAACTTTTGTCAATTTTTATTAATCTATTTATACATTGATTATAAAATATAATATTTCCTTTATATTTCCATGGGTGTGCATATATATGTATACATACACAATATTGTGGATTCTGTGAAATACATTGAATTGTTCACCTTTTACTCGCTGATTGTGAAAACACTTCTTTAAAATAACCCAAATAAAGCAAATTTGTATGTTGAGACATAAAAACATCAAATTGTTTTTATCAGTAAATTTACTTACTATTTACAAAATGCACACATATATATATAAAAATTTTACTAAATGTAACAAAAAGAATCTTCAGCAGAAGTATCAGAACTTGTACACATTAACCAGAAGTACTAACAGTACTTCAGCACTTATATTACAAAAAAAGCTGAACTTTTCTTTTTCATCCAACAAGAACCAGTTTTTGATTGGCCACCACCATATTTTTTTACACGGATCTTGTTCTTTTTATGTCGAACCGTTTTGCAGCTTGTTTGCTGGCCCCTAGTCCACTGATGTACATCACTGCAGTGAATGCATCAAGTAAATCACAGAGCCCCTACGTGCCTGTCCTTCTTGCTGTTGCTACTTGTTGCTCAGAACTTAACCGCAACAAAGGTTGACTTTGAGCAGACGTATTATAGCGTCATTCTGATGCAATCACTGAGCATTATAACATCATCATTCAGAATCATAGAATCATAGAATCATTAAGGTTGGAAGAGACCTCTAAGATCATCGAGTCCAACCGTCAACCCAACACCACCATGCCCACTAAACCATGTCCCTAAGTGCCTCATCTACACATCTTTTAAACACCTCCAGGGATGGTGACTCAACCACTTCCCCGGGTAGCCTGTTCCAATGTTTAACCACTCATTAACAGTTCTCTTAACAGTGGCATGTATAGTCCTATCATTTTTCATCCTGGTGTCATAGTCATGCTGCCTTTGGGCAGACATAAGAAGTTTACTTGGGCATTTTTAGAAGGAAAATCCAAAGAAGGAAGAGTGCCAGATAACCATGGTGCTTCGTACTTAATGTACATTAGTAGTCAAATGGGACAGTTATATTGAAGCTTCCTGCAATATGCAGGAACTTAAGGAATTAATCTTTACAGAGGGGGTCCCTCTGTGCCAGCATCAGTCATGTCAGATCAGACCTGCCTGTCCTGGCTGCAGTCTAAAAGAAGGGCCTTCCTGGTACCTAGCACAACCTGACATTCACAGCAGGTCTAGCATTGTTAAGATGCGCCATTGGACCTGGGCACACTGCCGGCTCATGTTCAGCCGGCTGTCGACCAGCACCCCCAGGTCCTTTTCCGCCAGGCAGCTTTCCAGCCACTCTTCCCCAAGCCTGTAGCGCTGCATGGGGTTGTTGTGGCCGAAGTGCAGGACCCGGCACTTGGCCTTGTTGCATCTCATACAGTTGGCCTTGGCCCATCGATCCAGCCTGTCCAGGTCCCTCTGCAGAGCCTTCCTACCCTCGAGCAGATCAACATTCCCGCCCAACTTGGTGTCATCTGCAAACTTACTGGTTATTTCTTTGAATAAATTCTACAATACATTGTTTATAATTATTGGGAAAAAACAGCAGTCCGAAGTGTATATTCAGAACATTTTTATTCCTGAGTGTTTATATTACTGCTATTTCAATTTATATCTACTTAGAACTGACAATTTTCAAAAGCTTCAGTAAAATCAGCGTATCAGTTGGAAGTTTTTGGTGTTTGTTTTTTGCCTAATGAAAGTTGGTATTGCCCAGATAAATGCAAAGTAT